TCTTTGAAATTTCTGAGGAAGGCAACGTCAAGCCAATCCGATCCACACGATTTTTTTTCAACAATATGAAAAATTTATGAACTACAACACGATAAAATCTCAAAGTTAAATATTGTTGGCAGTTGTTAAAGTATGCAGTGTGGCAATCTTCCCCTAGATACCGGCAGATCAGTCCGGTTTCATTCGCTCCCTCGGTGGTCGAAATGTGGGAATGAAAGCAAAGGATAACATAACTTGGTAGCATCATTGTCTAGTACTACCAAATTGTAATATGAAAGAGCTGTATTTATCTTATTTTTTGTAACAAAGGGGTGGTGATTACCTTGAAAACTTAAACTTCCTTTTGGGCGCTGACCTCCAGCTTGACTTCGAGCTCCCTTCCACAATAACTAATAGCTATCTGACTTTAGTCTGGAAGCATAGTCATGCATCTTTGACAGACAACTTTTGTAATACTCTTCCAATCGTCACTCAGATCGTCGTGCTATGTTGTAGGATGGTCTTCATATATGCATTAGAATTGGCTACATATGCTTTCGGGGGACTGGGCAAAGCAACGAGAGAAGCGCAGGAATTTATTTGGCCCACAAAGTCACAACAGCACATTCCAAACGCCTTCGAGGATGGCAGAACTCTACAGGAGTTGGTGAAGCTTCAGTTGTATTAAATATGCTTTTTAAGGCTTCCTCTTAAATGCCCTCAGCTTTGTGGGCAAAAAGATCGGATTTACTGCAAATATCAACTTATATCATCGAGGTAGTAGTTACTTTATATTTCTATGTATGCCATCATATATGGTACATTGTTGAATATCATTTGTATGCATATATGTTACATAGGTGGGGTATTTTACTTGAGAATGCCTTTTTAGGTAAAAATAATTTGTGAAATTGACTTTTGAAGAGGACGCGAATAAATGATGCAGTGTTCAACCTAATAAATCGTGGACTGCTATAAATGCTGAATAGTACATTTTTATGTCTAGCACAGGTGGAGAGTAAAATGTGTAGCAAAATAACTTTGTAATAGGCCTCAGATCATCTTCAGATACAACTTGCTAAAGTGTGCATTCTAGCCTGCTCAGGCTGTATTGTAAAAGCAAAATTTGACAGGGACTTAAACCTATCTTGAAGGGTATAGGCGATGCTTTTATCTCTTCTACAATTTAGGAAAATAGACCAAAATCAATTTTAATGCCATCTTCGCAACCTACATACATTGAACTTATTGTTTTTACATAAAAGCACTGATATTATTGTTGTAAGAAGAAATGAAAAATAGACAACCTTAAGAAGACTACAAGAATTAAGTAGAATGATATTTCTCAAATCTTGAATAAACCATTTAACATGATGGTTAACTTTTGGCATTTTGTTGGAAATTCTGAAATTAATCTTATTTTATTTGAAATATGTATACTTGTTTATAGTTTATCTCTATCATTTTCACGTCACAGATACAACAGTGTTACAGGTAAATCCTAAATTCTTTTCGTCATTGATGCCTAAAATATCATAGTTAACCAAAGCAGTTTGTGGAAAACTTTCTAGAAATGAGTCTATCGTGTTTATTCAAAAACAAAACTACTTTAAATTTGGTAG